TTTGTTAACAGTTGATGTGTGATATAGGTTCAATGGTACAGCAGTTGATGTAATTCTACAAGTCCAGATATATTACTTTGTTAACAGTTGATGTGTGATATAGGTTCAATGGTACAGCAGTTGATGTAATTCTACACGTTCAGATACATAACTTTGTTAACAGTTGATGTGTGATATAGGTTCAATGGTACAGCAGTTGATGTAATTCTACAAGTCCAGATACATTACTTTGTTAACAGTTGATGTGTAATATAGGTTCAATGGTACAGCAGTTGATGTAATTCTACAAGTCCAGATACATTACTTTGTTAACAGTTGATGTGTGATATAGGTTCAATGGTACAGCAGTTGATGTAATTCTACAAGTCCAGATACATTACTTTGTTAACAGTTGATGTGTGATATGGGTTCAATAGTACAGCAGTTGATGTAATTCTACAAGTCCAGATACATTACTTTGTTAACAGTTGATGTGTAATATAGGTTCAATGGTACAGCAGTTGATGTAATTCTACAAGTCCAGATATATTACTTTGTTAACAGTTGATGTGTGATATAAGTTCAATGGTACAGCAGTTGATGTAATTCTACAAGTCCAGATACATTACTTTGTTAACAGTTGATGTGTGATATAGGTTCAATGGTACAGCAGTTGATGTAATTCTACAAGTCCAGATACATTACTTTGTTAACAATTGCTCAATGGGTAAACTAGTTTTATTACCCTTTTCTAGCAGATTATGTTTTCCTTCAATCTTATTGTAGTGTTTTATGTGTTATGGTGCAGTGCTCACAGGCAAGATGTCCATTAGTAAAGTTATACATTTTAAATTTTGTTGTTTAAAAGAACAGTAGCCACTTAATAAAACTGAGGTTAATAAGCCATACTTAAGGTAAGAGATAGTTTGAAGTTTTGTGATTAAATGTTTTTTTTATTTTGTAATTGCTTGTGGCCTAGTCCTTTTGATATTCTGGAGAATAATGGTGAGATAGTATGTTAAAACGTATTCAACTAGGACTCGGAAAGTAACAGTATCGAGTTTTTGTTTTATATATGATGTGGTATATGTGCTGCCTTGCACTCATTAAATTGTACGATTTCGTATTGTTGAAGATGTATTGCTACCTGGTTTAACATCTTAATGAATTATGTATTTCTTTGCACAGTCTAGTCATTCTAGTGATTAATGATGAAGTTATTCCATACATGATGTTTTAGTTTTAAAGGTGTGAAAAGTTTTGTACTACTAGTATACGTAGATTTTAAATACCTTCACTGTAATATTAACATAGACATGTAGAACATATGTGTTTGCTGTGGCTTTCTATAATTTATGGCCATGAGAAAATTGCACTAGTTACATTTTTAAGGTACCTTTGACCATCTGTCCATTTTGATATGCAAGTCAATCTCTATCCTAATTGAATAGATCTTACAAGTTTTTTCACACTATGAGCGACTATTAACATTTTCAGAAGGAAGCTATTCCATTAAATGTATTTTTCTTGAATTTTCAAATGGCTATCATGAATTAATTTCAAAAGAAAATAAAGATATGATTTAGAAATAATATCTGCTCATTTTTTTTATACAACTTAGTATCACATCTTTAAGAAGATTGTTAATTTACTTCATAGAATGGCCCGGTGGTTAGGGCACTCCACTCGCAATCTGAGGGTCGCGGGTTCGAATCCCCGTTCCACCAAACATGCTCGCCCTTTCAGCCGTGGGGGCGTTATAATGTGACGGTCAATCCCACTATTCGTTGGCAAAAGAATAGCCCAAGAGTTGGTGGTGGGTGGTGATGACTAGCTGCCTTCCCTCTAGTCTTACACTGCTAAATTAGGGACCGCTAGCAAAGATAGCCCTCGTGTAGCTTTGCGCGAAATTCAAAAACAAACAAAGAAAACTTCATAGAATTAAACAGTACATTTTGTTTAGGTTTACCTTTAGTTACCAAACATGTTGGGCTGAACCAAAGTGTTTGGAAAAGCAGCATTGTTAAAACCATTTTAAGGCTAATGAATTATCCCAACAAAAAGTATGGTTAGCCATAATAATAACTTTGGTGATATTTCATTGTGATCTTTACCTGAAGACTGTCAAATTATGCCATTAAGCTTTGGTTCACTGTACTTGTTGAACAAATAGTCTCGTAAATTCCTTTAAAGTTGCACAATAACTTACCACTGGGGTAGCTAGAATGAGAAAATCAAAAGATAAAATGGACAGTAACTGTCTAGTTCAAAGTGACACTTGAAGACTCATCTACAAAAGTAGCTCAAGTGGAAAGGACGAACTGAAGATGGAAGTCTTTCCATCTGAGCTACTTTTGTATACGAGTCCTCAAAGACTTTCCTCAAGTGTTACTCTGAACGAAGCAGTTACTGTCCATTTTAACTCTTGTTCATCATGAAGACTGTTTAAATCATCTATAAAACAAATTTGTAAAGTTGACGATGAGTTATCACTGGGGTAGATTGTATTGGAACAGTATTTACGATGTGAAGACCCTACCTATAGAAAAATACCATTTTGGGGATGTTTCAGTGTAAGTGGTTAACTTCTTCTATTCAACGGCTCTTCTAAGTTCTCCAGATAAGGCTTACACACAGCTACAGTCATAGAACTTTATTCCACCTGGACTGGTTTTTTTTTATAGATTTATAACTGCCATTTTGATTTCTGTACATCTTTTTTTAAGATGACTTTTATAATAAATTATTAAAAATATATTTCTAAGGAAGATTCTTGCTGTTCTTCCCAAACAACAAAGGTATCTTGGGTTTCATCATATATATATATATATATATATATATTCATTTTATTGTATGTAATAACACAGCTTGAAATTAACAGTTGTCTGTTTGCTACTGGCCACCAAAAATGCCAGTGGACTACCTAAAATGTTTTTGTGGATGAACCATTTGGCCTCTAAAACATTGCCCATGAAAATCTAAATTTAAGTGATTATTTTCCCTACAAGATAAATAATGTTTATGTTATGAGACAAGTACACAAACAACAAAGTTATGCTGAGAATTATTTGCAATGTTATTCTCAAATATCAAGTCAATTTATTGCCGTTATCTGAACTATTGCATGCATCGACACAATGGTGCATACAGACCGAGACCCTGTCTGAGCTCGTATTCATTTGGCTCTGACTACGTACAATGTATTTGCCAGCATGATGGAAGTAGATGCCATGCATGGCACAGACACTAATGAAACTTCAACTACAATACTGTGGTGGATCTTGGCCCCAACTCCAGGCTCTGAAGGCCCGCATGTGCTTTCTTAATTTTATTGGGGAAAAGTTGTATATTTTGAAAGGTCATCTAGACCCATGAAATGTTGCAGACAATGATATTTGAAGCCCCCTTCCCCAAGAAACTGAAAAAATTGATCTTGAAATTGTCACAATCCCTTCATAAGGGGTAAAAATTTTAAATTCCCTAGAAAAGGAAGATAAAAAATCTGTGGTTTCCATAGGGAAAGGGGTTGTTCTGGAATTTAGGTACAAGCATACATGTAGGTACCACCAATTCTAAGTTGGGGGAGCAGTGATAAACAAGATTTCAAATTTATATTTTGGTACTACCAAAAATCAATAAAAGAAAAATGGATCCAAGGATATTCGCAAAGGGTCACGGTCTGGAAGATGAAGACTAGACATAAATAAAATGAAAATCCCACTGTGCTAACCACTTTCCACCTCTTGTTGGCTGGACCATGATCATTCAGCCAGTTGGAGTCCCAAGTGTTGTTGATCATCAGAGGTTATTGGTCAAGGATTGATTACCTGATTTATGACATGGGATATCACTCTTGGTCTTTGTCTATCCTGTGGTATTTCGGTGTGGACAGTACCTTGAGTTGGTGGTTACTATGATTATGTAATTCAACTGAATGGAGGGAGAAAAATGTGATGATGGATGGATGAATGCCTTGAATCAACAGTAGAATTGTTTTGTGCCAAAAATTTAAAGTTCTGTTGGTGATGGGGTTGGATGTTAATGTGATGGCAGATGAGTAGCAGTAGATTTGAATGAAATTTTATCATATTGTTTATGGAATATGAAGGGCCATTGTTTTCTCAGTGATCTAGGCTAACTTTGGGTGTTCCACTTTATTGTCTTCCATTGATTGTACCTCCAAGTTTCTTTTTTTTTGTTTTATCATAAGCACATGGCTAGAATTTTGGAATTTATTGTGTTTTGCTTTTTAAGACAAAGTACAAATTTCCAGGTGTAAGATGTGATAGTCTTTTAAGTTCAAAGAGTGAAAACGTCAATAAAAGACTTAAAAAAAAAAACTATGCGAACTCACTGTCTTGGATTATTTGTCTGCAGTTGTCATCAACCAATCATACGAGTTTTTATCCTACTTATTTGATGGAATTGAGCAACCAAACTCACTTTACAACATTGTGTCTAACATACTAGTCATCAATATCATTTTACACCATTGTGTGCAACATACTAGTCATCAATATCATTTTACACCATTGTGTGCAACATACTAGTCATCAATATCATTTTACACCATTGTGTGCAACATACTAGTCATCAATATCATTTTACACCATTGGTGCAACATACTAGTCACCAATATTCATTTTACCCATTGTGTGCAACATACTAGTCACCAATATCATTTTACACCATTGTGTGCAACATACTAGTCATCAATATCATTTTACACCATTGTGTGCAACATACTAGTCACCAATATCATTTTACACCATTGTGTGCAACATACTAGTCATCAGTATCATTTTACACCATTGTGTGTAACATACTAGTCATCAATATCATTTTACACCGTTGTGTGCAACATACTAGTCACCAATATCATTTTACACCATTGTGTGCAACATACTAGTCATCAATATCATTTTACACCATTGTGTGTAACATACTAGTCATCAATATCATTTTACACCATTGTGTGTAACATACTAGTCATCAATATCATTTTACAGTATGATTTATTTCTCACTTTTTTAAGCAGGGTTTTACTTTATTTTTTGACATTTTATCTCTCAATGAATCTTTGTTAGTACTACAAGTAAGAAAGGTCTATAGGTCATAGTACGATTCATTCATTTATGGGTTGCTTTGTTATATAAAAAATATGTCTAGGTGGTCCAGCTGACTACCAAAAAAAAAGTTAATTGCATAATGTTTATTCTTTTGGAGTATAGTTCTCTGTACCTTTAGGTTCCTTCCTCACTTCATTACAAATCTTTGTAGTCACTGTTGAAGTTCTTATTCTAAATGTTCACAGTCTTCTTTTCAGACTAGTTGAATATGGAATATCTGCCTCTTTTATATGTAGCCTGAAGTTTAACTTTGGATTTTAAACCTACAGCATTATCCCCTATTTTTCTCCATCTATTATATAGGAATGAGATCTACCCTGTTTCAGTAATATTCACATTGCAATGATTTCCTCTTGTTTACCATTTGTGTGGATTTTACCCAAGGCATCCAAATACCAATCATCTAAAACTTTAAGTGCAGCTTCTCAGCTCAGTTATTCCAACACCATTACAGGAAATACACAGATCTTCCTCTATTCTTGAATGTAGTTTGGTAAACATTTGCATCTTAGTTGTTGGCTTTAATATTATCTGTACATTTCAGTTTTAATTTTATAGTTTCTGGTTTAGTGGACTTTTGTTTTTACACATATCAATATCTAAACAAAATATGTTTTAAAGGTCTAATGTAAAAGAATCGACCTTGAGAGCTGGCCCAATTTCTGTGATTTACATAAAAATTTACATTGTAGGTATTTTATAAGTACAACTATGATAAAATTTCAAATTCCAGTTATTTGTTACCTGGAATTTGGGTTACAGAATATACAAGGTCAATGGACATATCGGTGAGATAAGAAGGAATAGGGACGAAATATCATAATGATTTTTAAGGTCGGCAGTTGCTAGGACTAGTGGGTGTGTTGTCCTGCAAAGTGGCACAACTCCAATCCAAACAAGTTTCAGCCAATCACAAGAAAGGGAAGCAGTAACAGCTCTCAACATTAAGTTACTGGACCAACCGCATAAAAACTCAAGAAATCCCACACAACTTCAAGAGATTTCAGAAACTATCATAAAGTTCATAAAATTATTTTCATTTAGATAAGAAAATAGACAAGATGGTACTGACAATGTTTTAATTAACAATCTTATTTACAACTGGTATAATCACACCTAGAACGATAGTGTTTGGTATTAAAACTGTCATCACTTTGAGTTAGTGGCATATTCTTCATCTTCAAGCATGTCTGGTACAAGATACCTGTAAGACAAATTCTCTCTTTAACCACCAAATTTTTACTGTTCTTGTAACTATACATGAATCATATTACTGTAAATCTTTTTACCAAACTTAAAAGATCCATTTAAGGAAGCAAAATGAAAGGATCATGACACTACCAAACAATACAATGTTTAATATAAGAAGTATTTACTTATTGCTCAAAGTCAGATTATACAAGTTTAAAGTTACATAATATGCTGATTAACAAACTAGAGTTAATTACACCAGTTCCAATATTACACAGTTAAATGTGGTACTCATAACTTAATATGTATCACTGAAGAAAAAAATATGTGCATATTCTTAAAGGCTTTGTTTCTTCTGAACTTAGATATAACCAACAATGTATATATTATTTGTTATATATATAATTATAACTATCTTTCATTAAATAACTTGAGATTCTCTAAGCCAAACTTTTAGGTCCTTCAAAAAATGAAATTACACACACACATGCAAGGTCACTAAAAGAATACAAATACAATAATATATTCCATATTTCTGTATAAGCTACCCATGTATTTCTCCCATTTACAAACCAACAACTGTTTATCTTCAGGTATTAATGTTTCTACTCTAGTTAAATATAACATTTGCTTAACCCGAAATAACATATGCTACTGTCATATAATCCAACCTAATTCACCTGTTTATACTAACATTCTTACATCAGGATAGACTGCCAAATCTGGGAGTCCAGAGGGGTTGAAACCTCCTAAGAGTTTACAAAGCATGAACTTCTGATTCACAATGCTTTAAAAGAAACATCATTTCAGTTGTTTTTTTTGTTATTACTTAGCAAAGACTAAAGTATTGTACCTTTCAAATTCCATGCTTTGGATTATTGACAGCAACATAGTGATACAACACCACCAACAGAAACAGACAAACTCCAAGGATATTGGAGAATATGGCTAGTTGAACATCTGTTATCATTCTAAGGGGAAAAAGAAAAACTCATTTAAATAGTTTACATCTTATATTACTAGCAAATATAGACAATGTTTCAAAGAATATGAACATAAAATAAACATTTTAATTCAGCTTTCTTTTACATGTCCTCAAAAACCACCTTTCTAATACTAGATTTTGGAAAAAAGTGTAAAACTACAGTTCATAAGTTACACACCATGTAAAAAGTAGAATTCATAAACTTCATATATATTAAGATCACGTCTAATCATATTTTTATTATTTAATTATTACCTGTTACAGGTTGTAGATGACTTCACTTGTCTGGGTAGAACTGTCAACAAAACCTGTGGTATCCACAAGAAAGTCTTCAGTAGATTAAATAAAGCAAGAGCAGTATTTATCAGACTAAAACCAATATGGAGATCTCTCTTATAACATATAAATTCAAAATCAATATACCCATATAATATACAAACACAAATGGTTTAAGATGAGCTACACTGGAAAACCTTCTCACAAATTATATAACACCCTCAACAAAGAAGTCTACAGATCGGCCTTCTACCGTAAAGATAACCTAAGAACAACAACCGTTTACCAATTAACGTGTCAAGAGTGCAACAGTGTGTACATAGGTCAAACAGGACGTCCCATAGAAACAAGATTAAAGAACATTCTAGAGCTGGAAATTAAGGAAAATTGATTCAACCTTTGTATCTCACCTTATTGAAATTAAACACAAATTTGATCCAAAAAACCTGCAATATTTTACATATCAGTAAAAAGGTAAAAGTAATATAGCCTGGAAATTAAAAAAATTAATAGAAGTATAAAAACAAATCCAGACCAACTTAAGTTCCTCTCCACTTGTCTAGGTGAATGTCAAGGTCACTTCCAGTTCTTTGTTTAAACACATTTAACCTGTTACAAAACTTTTTGTATTTCTATTCTTTACACAAACATCATCGTTCTGGCTTGTCCAAGTCAGAGTGATGTCGTCAATTCATAGACATATCTTAGGTACATATACTTTTGTAACACACCTGATATTTTGTGTATAACAGGCTTGTGCATTTGACTAAAAGCTTGCCACACTGCATATAGGGACACATGGTAGATTCAGAGTTATAGTCAACACTTCTTCTACAACTTGGTTACTGACAGTTCTCCACTAAGTAAGCCTCTGGATTATCTCATTCCTCATAGCAAAAAAAACAGAGGTTTAGTTTATCAGAAACTAATGCCTGAATACTAGAAGAACCTGTATGAAAACCAAACTTCAGATTTACAAATGAACTGAATGCTGGAGAATAATTCACACAACACCTGCCAAATTTGTCCTATATACTGGCCATTCAAAATAACTGATAAGAGCCTTTTTTGAAACAAACAGCACAAAGGTTTATAAAAAAATTAAATCCAACAAAAAAGATCATAAAAGCTTGAGCATGTGTTTAAGAAACCATGAACGGACAGAACAACTGCAATCGACTCTACTGAGGAGATCACAAGACCAACAGACACCTGAAGATGAGAGGTCACAGTTGGAAGGTACTGATTATAGCCTTATGTGCCACAGGACATAATATCATTAAATAATAACAAGATCACCTTAAATAAATTTAACCTGTCATTGCTCGACTGCAACATGTGATGCGACCTTACATCATAGTACCACATTATGTCAGTTTTCTAGTGTTCTACCACTAATCACTACAAAAAGTATTCTTTAAAGACACGCAACTTCATTCACTGCTGTATTTTCAATCATACACAGAGGTTAAATAATTTTAGGCCTTTCTAGCTATACTAATATAATTATAACCCTTCCCCTACTAAATTAATTTAATCCATCCAGGTCACAAACAAATACAAAATCCCTAATAATTTAATTTTGCCTTTTCTTTCAATGTAATAAGCCTAATTAAATTACTTTACAGCAATAAACTCCAAAGTAATGGCAGCTGTTAACAAGTTCAATTTAATTCTAATTCAAAATAATCTTAAATCAAAAACATTTAGAGTTTGAAATAAGAAAAACTGAGAAAGGATACTATTCGGTGATAATTATAATTTATATCTACCTATCTTAAATATGTAATCCAAATACATGCAGAGAAAAACATACAGAATTAAAAATACATTTAAAAAATCTTATAAAAACAATAAAGTCATGATTAGTGTATAACTGTGCATTAAACTAACACATTGTTTTTTTTATTCTGTCTTTGATTTTATTACTGAGAAATTGCCTTCCCATTATTGGCTGCAGACAATGAATATATGGTTATGTTTATCCTACTTTAGGACACTATGGCTTTAGCACCTGAAACTGGCCCTCTAAATAATTTCAGGTTTGTTCTTAATAATAAGTTGGCAAACAATGATTTGTAACTATAAGTTATAGCACAAGTATAATGAAGTGGTGTGTTCTGGGGGAAACGTACTACATTTTTTGAGTCTAACATTAGTCTTTCTTCTTCGGGTATATTGAGTATGTTTCTCCCAAAATAAATCACTACATTATTCTTATATTATAAACTGTTGTTTGCCAACTTACTATTAGTATTATATCAGTATATTGTATTTCTGTACTAAAGTTTCAAATTTGTTCATCTGTTGTTACACAGCAGATTCTTAGTCTTAACCGCGTTCATGTATGATTCAACTTTGAAGAGATGAATTATCTACAAGTACAAGTTCAACGCTTTTTGATTTGAATGCTTGTACCCAGTTATACACCACTTTACAGACTTTGTAACACTTGTTTTATTTATATTTTTGTATGTTTTAATTGTATGTATTTGGATTACATTTTAAAAGATATTATATTTTCACTTGATTGTTTTTTTGGTTACTGACAACTTTTGCTCACTTGCACGTGATTATGTTCTTATTTTATACATTTACTGCTATATTATACACACACACACACACATATATATATATATATATATATAATATACATTTCAGCTGAAATAATACAAAACAATTCAAAGCCTGAAAACTAGATAAGGTCAAGTTTCATTAATAGAATCTAACTCTACAACTTACAAGGGGGTTTTCCGCACTAGTTGTAGGGTTAACATAAGAACACAAAGGGACCGTGTTTGAAATTAAACTCTGTTGTTAATATTAATACTAACAATGTAACCAATAGTGACAGGTACTAAATGCAAGTCGTAGACGCTGCTTTTAACATGGAAGATTTACCTGTTACACAAAGTGAACCTTTCTCCAATAAACTTTTAAGAAATTAAATTAACGTTCGCTTTTCAACTATAGCCGGTAAAATGATCCCAACACCACGTTTACAAGTGCGATACATCATACGTCACGTTGAAATCACCAATCAAAAAGAGCCACATCAAATTTTCTATTATTAAAAAATAATATTATTTTAAGGCAATAATTTCGAGTAAGTTGTATGAATAACTTATTTTTCATATTTAAGAATATGCCAATATTTAATAATTACGTTAAGTCAATATAATTCCTTATTTGAGAACCTGCCTTGCCTGTATAAGTAAAGTGTAAGTACTCTTGTAACGAACTGTATTGTTTCTGATGTTAGTTTCATAAAATATTACAGTGTGTTATTCAACATCTATTTGATTAAATTAATTTATCAAGTTTTAATATTATAATTCTGAAACAAAAAATATTAATAATCGTGTGGTTTGTAGCTGTTGTAATATTTTTTATTGTTGGGTGGGATTTTTTGTATTATTCAATAATAGAAAAAGAACGCAAAGTTGAAACTATATAATAATGTTTTGTTTGTTGGTTTCGTGCAACACTACACGAAGGATGTTTGCGCTAGACATCCCTAATTTTGAAGTGGTAGACAACCCTTGGGCTACTCTTATCACAGAAATAATGCTAAGTAGTCACACATTTTCTCATATCAATGGTACCTTTCATATTTTCTTCTTCACAAAACTGAATTAAACTTGTTTATAGTAATAAAATGACTAATGTGGTACAGGAAGGTACCATATGTCTGCTACCTCCTTAGTTAATGTGTAAAGTTTTTGAAATTTTTATTTTTTATGTATTTCAGTTTGGACTTAGAAAGTCGTCCAAGTAAACAACTTAATTTTTCCTTACTCTAATGGATCATGAGCTAGTATCACTGTAATTGATCATTAAATGTGCTCTCTTGCAAGAAAGATAGCTGTGACTTCATTCATGATGTCCCGAAATATACAGCTATTTTTTTCTGTCTGTGAATTATGTAATAGCTTGGATCTTTTCCACCCCTGTGACCGTGGGAGAGTGGACTAAAGTTATTGGTAAGGTGCATGTCGTGAGCAGTCTGGCTTTGTTTATGTTATTGTATTTTATATTTAAAGGCCAAGCTCTCCCTTGTTAGACAGAGTCACTCACCTATTAACATTTTTTCCCTTTCTTAATTGATGACCTTTCATTATATAATTGCTTTTGTAACACTGTGCATACGTACGGAAATAGCATTTTCCTACTTATCAGAGGAAATTTACTAGAAATGCATATTTGCAGTGATAATAAAGGAACTATTACATATTTCGGAAATCACATTATACGTTTATTTATTGATAGTATTAAATGCGGTACAGTTTAGCCCTAACTAAACTAAAGCAAAAACGTACAAAAGTTACAATTTTAATTTAACTTTTTATTGAATACTAGCAGCGTTACCTGACGTTGCCCGGGGTTTAAAAATAAACCAAAAAACCTACACTCTCTGTTTCTCCATTCCATATTTCGAGAGGTAAAAATATATTACTATTTTTTTTAATTTTCTGTGCTGACTTTTTTATGTCGTTTATTAATATCTTGTGAGTCAAAATTGTGAAATGTCTTTGTAATGTAACTACACGGGTAGCCATAGGACAACAATAGCTTTTGAAGTTTGATCCTGGCTTGCGTCTTACCGTCCATGATGTTGCAGATTTTCTCAATTCTATTAAGTTGACCAATAATGACACCTTGTTTGGTAGCTGGTGGATGGTGTAAGATTTAATGTAGAATAATTGATTTAACATGTGATTTAGAATATTCGGAAGTAACAAGTTTGCTGTTTACGATATTGACCATGGTATCAAGAAAGGGGTATAGATTTATGGACATTATCGGTATTAGTATTATGTCGAAGTTTCAAGCGATTAGAAGATCTGGTTTGAATATCCATCTCATAAAAAAAAACCTGGTTGAAAACTGAAGGATGTACTCACTCGTTCAGCCTTTAATAACAACAATACATGTAAATTCAAAAAGTGTTTTCCAAAGACGAATGGCTTAGAGAAGTCCTGAACATTTAAAAACACTGTCTATGAACTTACATGTACACGGTCTTCGGCCTCATATATAGGTGAATCTAATCGTCCAATACACGATCGTTTCAAAGAACACATTCGTGCCACTGGAAATCTTGACAACAAAGAAGCTACCGCTGAACATTACTTAAAAACCACGACAGAATCAATGGAACACCTTATACAATCAAAATATTAAAGATCTGTGACAATTTTCTCGACAGAAAATATAAGGAATCACTTTTTATTCAATCCAGACGCCCTTCTATTAATAGGTAAAATGTCTGGCCCCTTTAACATTTTATTATTATTATTATTAATTTTATCATTATGATGTTATCTATTTTTATGTTATTATTATCGTTTTCTCTATTTTTATGATCAACGACCCAAAATTGTTCAAATATATTTGTATCTCGTACACTTTTTGTTATATTATTGGAGCTGTATTTTGTTTTCGGTTACTGTAATTTAAAATCAGTTTGGTAACCTGTGACGTTCATAGACCCTTGATAAAGGCGTAAGCCGATACGTCGGGTACAAGTAATTAAACATTTTTTTCTGAAGTTGTTTGTCGTCTTCATTAGGTAAAAAATATTTTGTGAATTTATGAAAAAACAACAACAACAACCTTAGAGTATCTTATATGGGTATGAGTACCCGTCTAGTGAACAGGATAAGCCTAGCTCTATCCCCCTCATCCCTCCTCAAATATTAAAATTGCAAACCTAAACATGTTTGTAATATTATGTTCCATTTGCTTCAATGTAAGTTTGATATATTTTTATGAATGTGATACCATATTGAACATTATGACATTGATATATGAAATATACTACAAACAAAATGCAAAATCGTACTTTATAATGTATGAAAATAAAAAAAAATCACTTCCAGGTATCGAACCCCCAGAGAAAAAGTAAAATAAAATAAATTCGCTGACTTGACTTTAATCTCATTGTACACAGTAAGTATTATAATGTAAATCTTACTCTCTTTTTTTGTTTCACGTAGTCTATTTTATGGTAGACAGCATAATTTTATTTTATAGGCAAGGCCTACTGTTTTCTATTTCACACACAACATTCTAATTCTGCATACATTTCTTTTGTTTGTGCAGTTAAATATTAGGTGTATAATTAATAATGTGTAACCAAATATGCCTATCTATTCTAATACTAATAATAAAAATATATAATTTCCAGGTTCAACCTATCTTCCACCTATTGCCAGCGCTCTTACCAGTTACGCTGACTTGATTTTAATCTCATTGTACACAATAAGTATTATAATTTAAACCTTACTCTTTTCACGCATTATTTTTTATGGCAGACAGAATAATTTTATTTCATAGGCTAGGCCTACTGTTTGCTTTTCCACACACGAAATTTGAATTCTGCATACATTTCATTTGTGTGTGAAGTTAAATATATGATGTATTCGTAGATGTATAGTTAATGATGTATAACTAAATAGGCTTATAATGCTACATTCTAAATTAAATGTTAACTCAAACTTACCAAAAAATGTCCAGTCTGCGTAATGTATATGTTAATGATAAAATTACTGGTTCGACTAACAGACGATAGACGCGTATATCAACGAAAAATTATCGTTTTGCGCACCTTCATGTAACGCGGAGGGCAAACAAACAGAGAAATTTGGGGTTTTATATATATAGATAGGCCGTACGTAATAAAGGCTTAATTAATGTTAGGCCTAAGACAAGTAGACGTATAGATTTTGGTATTTGCGATTAGAATCGTTTTGTATTATTCTAGAAATCCTGTATTTATAGAAGTACCCTGCAATAAAAATACTAATTTGAAATGTTTGGGGGTCTCTGCTGGTATATACAGTATTTGACTTAACAATCTGGCATATGAGAAAAACATCTTTGAGCTTTGACTCATATGGCACAGCATATGCTTTGTATATGGGAGACCGAAGATTCAATCCCGTCTATATCCATTTTTTAAATAATGTTTTTGCTAAATAGTATTTCTGTAGTCAAATAATTTTAGTATACTATACACCGTACACGAAGCATGAATTTATTAATTAAAAGTTGGTAATATGAAAATAATGAGTGTGGCGACAATATTAACTAACGTTTGATAAAGTATATCAAATATTAAGTAATATCTGATAATGCAAGTATGAGATTGCTGAGATTGTTAACTAACAATTTACATAAAGTGTTTGGTGAGTTTGAAAGGTGAGTCTTGTGAACTTGATTACACTAGAATTAATCTAACACGTGTATTTGTGATATTGTTAACTAACATTTGATAGAACTGTTTAATATTTGCTACCTCAAAGTTCAAGCAAACTGTCCCTAATTTAGAGTTGCTGACTAAAGCGAAAGCAATCAATGAGCAGTTAACACCACCTAGCTGAAAGTGCAGGATAAGGCTGAATAGCATATTGTGGGCCCGAACTTAGGACCTTTCACAACCTGGTATAGTAATTACTAGGTCGCGCCAGGCTAAATATGGTAAATATTAAGTGTTTGGTGGCATTGTTAAACAGTGTTTGATAAGATAAATCTTGAGTAATTTGTAACACATGTTAAATCAGAATATCATTTCAAGAAAAATCATTATACACATCTGTTGGAGTCGTGCACTAAACTTTTCAAAGTTTAGCAAGCAAAATTCTGTAACCATGTGCCAAATTGAAGTAAAGTATGCATTATTATCGTTTCATAGTTTATTAGTTTTAATTAAAATAATACCATATATAGTTTATTCCTTCTTGCATTTAATAAATGTTCATTATTGAAATAAAATGCATTTGTTACAGAAAGTACATAAATGAATACTTATTGTCTTGAATGTGCAGTTTCCAAAAATTAGTCTTATTCTGTAATTTATAATTCTTGTTTCTTGTTTGAAGTTAAGTGCAAAGCTACACAAAGGGCTATCTGTGTCCTTGCCCACCATGGGTATCAAAACACGGTTTCTGGCGTTGTACGTCCGCAGACAAGCCGCTGTGCTGGGGGGGGGGGCAAAATTATAATTCGAATAAAA